ACTGAAGTTTCAAAGTCGTGTGATTACAATTGATATGATTATGAACAATAAATTTTTTTCGGAACGTCATCCAGTAAATAATACTGTTTCACTGTGTGATATATCTAATAAACAAACTAATATGGAATTACTTACTACCACAGTGCCCAAGTTTTACACATATATTGATATTTGTGTTGGGCGTACTACCAGACAGCTTAGCCAATATGTTACTGAACTTCTCCCATCGTAATTCGGCAAAGGACACAATGAAAGCTTCCGCAGCTCCGTTTTGTCTCACTTAGTTGATAGTGGTCATTTAGCGGAAAAAACGAAAGCATTCAAGGTAATTTAACGCGTCCCACCGAATCTTTCCAATAGACTTTGTACTCATCTGCAGCACAAAGCTGAGGCGATAGGCACTTGAACTATGAATTCTAAATTATGCATTCAAAAGAAGTTCGTACAGCCATTATCCCTCCCTTGGTGTATTAAGACCTAACCTAGTGATTACTTCTCCACCACCCTTCAACTTATATTTTCAGCCCTTCTCTTATCATCCCTTAATTTTATCACATTTCCATTAGAACTTAGTTTACTTACTTCGCTTACGACCTAGAGTTACTCAATCGGCCCACTTGTTTTACTTAGCCTTTATCTACTACTTTTATCTAAACACTTATTCTCACTAGCACAGATTACCTTACTTTTCATCCTTGTTATTGACGGGACGTTTATTATTACTATTATTATGACTAATTGCACAATCTTATTATTCTATAGACAAAACACCGTCATTCGTCTATATTTAGATTTTTATTTTAAAGTTATTCATGTTAGAGTTACGCCCAATGAGATCTAATTGAAAACAATATCGTTCGCTTAAATGTATTGTTGTAAAGTAAGAAAAGATAAAAACATAATTTTACTGCAGTGGACCGTCAAATGTGCAGAGAGCAATTTAATGACGAATAGTGGAGCCATTTGAGATTTCGACGTTGAGCAGAGAATGCATCTGGGAAAATGGAAATGTTTTTGAGTCATGTCTGTAGCCATTGGTCCGTGGTTCCCGACTGGATTCATACTGACAACCAATTACGCTATGAATTCATAGTATTTTTTTGAGGTAACCATTACTAACTTTTTAACATCCTAACCTCACTCCAGCTAGCATGATTTATTTAAGAAATTGTTGACTGACCCAGCATAGTGTGTGTTCCGACCACCTTAGTCGATAAGGACTGACAACTTCATCAGCTGCTTTGTCTTTTTTGTGTAACATCAGGACTAGTGCCACGAAATATCAATCAAAATGTGGTGTCGAATGAATGGAACAATGCTACAAAGATCGTGAAAAACACATAATCCCTTTGCACATATGTTGAACATTGGTAATGTCTTCAGTGGGTACGGTTAATGGTAGTCAGTATCACCTTAGATAAGACATATTTTCAACAATTCGCTAAGTGAAAAACACAAAGTGCTCTCAATCCTTTAAAGCTAAATGAATTGTGCTGCTTATATTCACAAAATATTATCAATACTCCACAGACTCCACAAGTGCACATCAAGAAAAATGAACAGGTTAGACTACATGAAACATAAAACTAAACTAATTTATTTCAAGAATCAAAACTAAAGCAGGTGGAATCACATTTTTGTAATTATTTTAAGTGTATAGTTTGGACACTATGATGAAATATAATATCATAGTATATACGTTTATTTGATATAACAAAGTGATACAGTATTCATAAATGAATGGCATTTCCAGTGCGATGTATCCCTCAAAATAGTTTCATTGTATTCACACAGCTTCATACTCTCTCTCTCTCTCTCTCTCTCTCTATATATATATATATATATATATATATATATATATATGTATATGACTATCACTAACAACACAGGAATAGATTAAATGGAACTAGGGAGAAACAAACGTAAGAAAACTAGGTAGGCTTCAGACCAGGAAGAGGGTGTATTGATGATATCTTCACCCTTAGACAGATTCTGGAACACTCTTACCGGCGTCCATCAATTGCCGTATTCCTTGACCTGAAGGTGGTATTCCACTCAGTCGACCGATAGGTACTATGGCAATGTTTGGACGTGGACTGACGAGAAAATACATCACATTGATCAAGGAACTCTGCTAAGAATCACGCACCTAGGTGGGAGCTTATGGAGAATTGTCATTTGATGTGATGACAACCAGCGGTGTCCGTCAGTGATGCTAACTATATCCATTTCTGTCTACTTTTTTCACAGATGTACGAATGGCATTGAACTTAACTGATTTCGACGACTTAGGGATTGAAATGTCAACATAGAAAAGACTTGCTGACTTAGAATATGCAGTTGATATTCCCCTCCTAAGTGAAGACGCTGATAAAATACAATCTTCTTAACCCTTTGAGAAGCAACTTTGGCATGCGACTTGCTTCTGTCGAATGTAAGGTGATGCTACGAGACTGGAGTACATCAACTCCCAACTTAAATATGGGATGGCAGATGGTAGAGTATACTGATCATTTCAGTTATTTGGGAAGTTGCGTTAATCCCAATGGACTGGTTGTATACGAAATGTCAGCATAGATAAAAAGTCATCGTGGGGCGTTTGCTAACCTAAAACATCCCTGGCGTAGATCTGATATCTGACTGTCGATCAAAGGACGCGTGTACTGCTCAGAAGTTCGCTCTTTCCTCCTTTATGGCTGCCAGACATGGCTATTGGAAGTAGAAGATATGAAAAGGCTAGCTTCTTTGATCATATGGCCTGCGCTTTATCTTATATGTTAGGTGGTGTAACAGGGTGAGTATTATTGAGATTAAGCGCAGAATGTTGGGTAGGGGGGGAGTAATTTAATCGACGAGGTTTTCAAGGAAAATCGATTGAAACATCTAGGGCATATGTCGCCCATAGCTAGACAACAACTTCCCCGACATTAAAGAACATAAGATCAGGTTGGAATAGAGCTAGTGGCAGTCGAATCAAAATTTGGAGTCAGTTTGTGAAATCTGTCAGTTAGTTTGAGCAACGTAAAGAGGTGCAGCCTTCCTTGCTGAGGTCATCAGGATTATACGAACGAATAGCTTGACACGGTTGATTATATGACTCAAGATCGTTCTCAATGGCGCAGATGCACTCACTCTCAGTAACTTCCCATATCCATTAAACGTTAATGCTTCCTCATATTTTTTAGATATTCTTTCTCCCTCAGTTTTCTGCTTATTAGTTCTTTCGAATCCTTTCTTTTTCTTCTTTCTGTCTTCATGTGCTTCATGGAGTGTGGCAACTTCAACTGCTGTACTTCTGTAAAAGCTCTACGTTGGAACTCAGTCAGCCATTCATATTCTACTATAGTGTCTAAATTCTACACCTTCCTGTTTAAAGAGTAATCAATGAACTCATATGACTATCACAGAGACAAGCGCGACTTACGAATCATCGTATTTTTAACATTCGATTTTTTAAGAAATGGGATGATTCCTAAGTATTTTCATATATGCGTTCCGGTTGAAAGAAGGAAGGGGAAGGTAGCAGGTGAACATCTCAGTAGACTAAGTCTAAGAGAAGATATCCACATAATCATCACAAAACTAACTGCTATCAGACATAAGACTAAACAAATAAAATTCAAATTTCTAAAAAATATAGAAAATAAAGAGGATTACAAAATCATACTTGCAGCACTCAAAAAGTGAAGATCAGCTGTTTTCAATAAATCCAAAAACATTCTAATTAAAAAGTTCAACAGATTAGTTGAGGAGAAATATTCCACCTACAAAAGTGGAATTACCGATAAAATGCCATCAACCACAAATAGACCAAAATGTTGACAAGTTGGCGATGTGGCCACCATTCGGATTATAATCCGAATAAATCTGCTGAAGAAGCTGTGGCTTACACGGCGAAACGTTCAGAAAAATCTTGTTTTGATTTTCTTAACACGCTGGGATTAATTTAAATAATTTATAATGAATCAATCTGACTCGGCTCTCAAATTATTCCAGGAAGTTAGTAACACCTACGGTCTGGAAACCTATAAAGGTAGGTTTAGTTAGGTGTTTAAGTGATCGAGCCAGAAGCCTAACCAGTAAGTCCAAAGATTTAATTAAAATAAACAAACAAATAAAAAGAAATTAGTCCTGGATAACTACCGACGAAATTTCATTCAAAAATGCAGATACCCATAAGAAAAAAACAGAACCAATGTAAATAATGAGGAATTTAAAGCTTCGATAGCTCTGTCATATGAGGACGGAACACCAGAAGCCCTACATAGGATTCTTGGATAAGTTTGGAATTAGAGTGGCATTTAAATTAAATAATTTATTCAGAGACAAACTTTGTTCCCTTGAGGACCCGATAGGCTCAGTTAACAAAAATATAATCTACTAAACCACACATGATGGCTGGGAGGCCTTTCACATGGGTCACACTTGCACATTCCATTCAATTAGGTTATTGAGGCAGAGAAATTTAGCTACAGCTGGAAAGATTCACCCTACTAAGATAAATAATCTAGCGAAAACCCATCCATTGCATCGCGTTCACTTGCATGTAATCAATCACCAAATACGGTAGGATAGGGAGGAAGTATTAAAAAGAAATATAGTTAGGTGGAGGGAGAGGTTCATCGCTGAATCGTTGTTCATCGAATAAACACCGAACACGTGCAATCGAAATGACTCAACACCAATCCCGGACATATGGGAAATTGCAATGAATGACAAGAAGGAGAGGATATATGTATATGCAGAGTATGAAGGCGTGTTAATGCATTCATATGATTATGAGCAATAATTGATGCTCGAAACGTCATCCAGTTATCAATACTGTATTACTGTGTGTTATATCATATGGATGGAATTATATTTCCAAGTCTAAGAAATGTAGTCGTTAGTTTTCTACTATAAACAGTTTTTTTCAATATTGCGCCACCGAATACATCTTTTATTACGCATATTTTAAAACGCGATAATAGTTTGTCAGTAAAACACCAATTCACTTGACACTGGAATACTAAATCAGATCACACTCTTTAATTAAAGAATCTACTACACTGAACACAAAAGATTAGAGGAAAAGTCAAACAGAGATGTCTTTCGATCTGGTATATTTACACAGTAAATGTAGATTTTGATCGGTGTGATGTAAACACGGCTAACAATACAAAATATACTATGATGTTCTGTGAACAGAAATATACAAAAATAGGAAAGCATATTCTATGTCGATTCCATATAAGCCATCGAATGTCCGTATCCACAGGCAATATGTTTCACTTTATAATCTCGACCAAAACTTTCCAGCTTTAAAAGGTATGGCTGAGAAATAAAAGGAACACCAGTGTGTTGGGTTTTATGTTTTTCAACTTGACTGGAATTTTCTCCAACACCACACATACCATGTTCGTCCCAACCCCAAACCCATAATTTTCCATTTGAATCAACAGCTAGTGAATGTTCTGAGCCGCAGGCTATATTTTTTATAATCACTCTGTGATCATTTTTTGAATCAAAATATATTTTTACAGGGTTTCCATCAAAACTTGGGAATATTTCACTAGCAGAACCTTCGTCTACTTTTGGTACTTCAGCAAGACGTCCAAGCTGTCCAAAATCTGATCGACCCCACGAATAAACATCTCCAACACCTTGAATAAAACAGAGAATATTTGACAAAATTAATGATGGAGAAAACGATTTCCGGAAATGAAAGTAAGTGAAGACTCATGTCGTTAAATGTACATTTTCCTAAGAAAGCAATGTACACTTTAAACGAACAAAACTTTCCTGTAAATAGAAACAATTCACTGAAAAAAAGAAATGTGTTTACTGCCATTACTTTCGAAATATTTCTAATCATACAAAAAATTACTAACTGTTACAATTTTAAGGCATAGAATTGTTCTACATCAGTTAATCTCTATTGAACCAAGCTGACTTCACTTAGATAGTAGGACCAATAACAATGATAATAATACCTAAAGTTGGGTTCACAACGCAGATTCAAGAAAGTAAATGGGCTCAGTTTTTCTTCAGCAAGTGTCAAATGAAAACAACAGACACTTGACTCATTGTAATGAAACGCTGCAAGCGCATGATGTAACTGTATGAGTGTTGGCCTTTGACAGGAGTTATAACCAACAGCTTCGAAGTAAAGTGACATCTATGGAACTCATACAACACCAGTCGAAAATACTGCCCTTTTGGTCACACTGCTAATATTTTCTACACTTGATATATTGGTGCAGCAATATTCCTGTTTCCCGTTTTAAGTGGTGATTCAAATAAGGAAACTGCGTTGACAAAGAAGTACACTGACAAGAATTGATAAGAGTTCCTCATATTTCACTTTATGAATCAATTTCTGTGTATTTAAGACAGCCATATTAAGAGAACAGAAAAGAATGACTTCAGTTAGAATTTTTCAGAGTGTGCTAGAGTGATTTTATTAAAGGGAACTATTTGAAAAAATTCACCTACTTTACTAGTTGGTCCCAAGTTTGCAAAAGCGGGAGCTATCAACCCAGCCGGTGAATACAACATCGCCAATGAAACTTCAATGCACAGAAAATATAAATCTATTCTCTACGCAAATCAGGAAGACTCACTAATTCCAGGTCAGCACTGAAGGGTGAAAACCTACGCGAAGTCAGTCGATCAGCAAGTCTCCTTTGTCTGACAGCAAAAGTAAACATTGAGACATGGAATGTTTGCACTACGTTCATTGCTGGCTGGCGATATCGCCAAAAAGGGTAACTCTTTGCTGAACGCCTATTCTTGTATATGACTCAAATTGGGATTTTCAAATTATTGAGTATTAAAAGGATTGGATATGTGACGGTTATAATAAGATGAGTATACCCCCTCAGCCTTCTCTCTTTGTTAGTTCGAAACAATTTTTGTAGTTACTTAGCTTGTTATGTTAATGTACTATTTCACGTTTAACTTTGCTTTTATCTAAATTTTAAACTCAAACTCCCTTTCAAGAATATTCTTTTGGTTACCTCACGAAAAGTTTGTCCTTCTATCGCTTAAATTAACTTCCTACATCATTTTGCACTCATGTCATTTATAGTTCCAATCAGCGTCTCGTTGTGAATGTGATAGAAGTATACTCAAACCTTTATAGAGATTTGTATATTCTGGTAATGTTTAGTTTGTTTAAATTCAACGAGTGATGGTAACTGCTATCCATCCAAAGTTTTTGACATTATAGAATTTGCTGGAACATACGTTCTGGCCAACACAAGTCGTTGAGTCACGTCTATATGCAATCACAGTCACAGCGTCAAGATAGCAGTTATCGGTCAAAACTGGTTAGCTTGAACCTGTCGAGTCCTACTGGTCACCCTGATTCTAGACTAGACAACACTGTATCCAAGCTGTGATTGGTAGCAGAAAATCTGCGAGTATATGAAAACCAACTGCATTGTCTAACAAGACATTCTGGTCACTAATCCACCTCATCTATAAATAAACGGTTGACCTGTCTTACTGAACTAAAGTCATACTTTTCAACATTCTACTGGTAGTTTATTGAACACACCTGAAAACTGATTGAATCCGACTTACTACAACTGCCTACTACGTCGCTTTAGTAATAACTGTTTACTGATGTTCATGGTCACTGCCGTTTCTTTATTATTCTAGTGAGTTGTTTACGATATTCAATTTACTTAGATGGACGAATATGTATCCTGGTATGTTGGGAAAAGTCACCAAGATTCTGAGAGTTAATTGCAGTTTTCATCAATGCATATAAAATACAACAGGTTAGAATTTCGATTTAAAATATTATCGAATGAGATTCCTTAAGTGTTCACTTGTAGGCATCTGTATAACAATCTACTCATCATTAATTGAAATGCCTCCACATAAAATATAAAAGTCTACGTTTGATTTTAATCTTTACTATATTAGCATCTATCACTATACTGATGTTAAATGAAGCATTATTTTTCGGATTAACTACAAATTTAATCACTTAAATTGCACATTTAGTGAAGTGCGTAAAGCCAGAAGATGAAACATACTTACTAGTTCTAGCAAGAACGTGACTCCACCCACAAACCAATTGCTCTATTTCACCGCCATCAAATAATTCAGAATCATACCATATAATGGATGAATTTACCATTTTAATGTTTGAAGAATAGTTTCGTGCTCTTGATCTCAACTGGAAAAAACGAGTATCCCCCCATAGAGCCAAGCAGTTTGTTTCTGCAAAAACAAGTAGAAAAGCAGTGTGTCATACTGAAAAATAGGTGCATAAAAGTAAAACAACAAGAAATCATAACATACTAGTTTTTACCATAGAATGATATGCACCAGCAGCACAGTCAACGAAATCATTTTCATCTCCTAAGACAGAGTTGAGCTGAATGGGATGGTAGTATATCTCCGAAGAACCAATGTGTTGGTCTGTTTTAACTAACGTTTTGTCAGGGAATAATTGTTTACGACGATTGGAACCCCAACCCATCACCTTTCCAGAGACTAGAATTTAAAGCTGTTTGAAAAATGAAAGTTACCTGTGACACAAATAACGTGCCTCAAACCAGCAGATATTGACCGAACAGGTTCTATGTCAACACGAATCTAATGTAAGATCACTTCGTTAGTAACAAGTTACAGGAGCTGTGCTTGATTTGATGCCCTCTCTACTTAGCTGTCCATATGCATTTGAACCCCAAGTGAAAACGGACCCGTCGTCAAGTACTGCAACGGAAAAATCCCAGCCGCATGTCAATAGCTTTACAGTTCGTCTAAAGGAAAACGAGGTGGGTTTGAAGAAATAACAGTTATCTGAACGACCCATCTGATCAGAGGGACTCAATCCAGAAGTCATTATCATATTATCTGAGAACATGATATCATTTAACTTCAAGCTACCATTAACAATCAGAGAGTGACCACCACCGCCAGCGACTAAGGTAACAGGATCACTGAAGTTTATTATACGCGGCTCATAAACATCTTTATCATTTCCTGTGCCCAGCTGACCATGGCTATTTGCACCCTGAGCCAGAGTATTAGTACATCAGCAAAAAGAACTCACCCATGTAAACATAAGAAATCTGAGACTGTGATCACCTGACTATTAATTACGAAAAAAATGAACAATATGGTACTCATTTTATTCTGAATTAGCAACAAGAACATGATAGTATATCACAAAATGACGACTAAAAAAGAATAGAGTAGATGCCTAACGAGTAGACCGAAGTAACACATCGTATGAAAATTAGTAAAAACAGAAAAAGGATGCAATAACATGATATAACAAAAGAAAGTGTAAAGGGGAAGGTGAACTAAACACTAATGAAGTCTGGAATGTAATAAATAGTTAATAAATCTGCACTGGAGTGGACAATTTCATCATATTTTGGTTTTGATAATCATCGATTTCTAATATTAGACATAATCTTTCCTTCACTTCTGCAGCCTAGACGAACTTTGCCAAGAAGACTAATCATGACTTCCTCCTAGTCGAATGCTATGTCAAAATAACGCAGATTTGTAGATCAGGCGGACCTCTTTGGTTTACTTATGTTCCCAGACCTGGATGGTTTAATTGTGAAACTTTTGCTGTTCTTCAATGCCAACCTGAGTGTCAACTTCGCGTTAGGAATTCGAAGGTGAAGTGTGCACCAATTTTTCACAATTAGCTTTTCAAATCTATAACGTATCTGGTGATGGGGATTCAAGTAATCATAACATGATCCTTATTTTAATCAGAATTATAATCAACAGCCAAGACCACTTTAAGAGATCACATTTGATACTAACAACTCAACTATGGGTTTTCTCTATCTTTTGGGTTCCGACCGCTCCTTTGATACAGATGCAGTGACCAAATAAACAGGATTCGGCTTGTCCGATTGGCTAACGAACCGGATGATTACGCATTAGTGAAAACTGAAGGAAAAAGTACCCTGGAAGCAAAGGTAAAATTGTTTTCAGATGTGTTACAAAAGACAAAAACTCCACTTGGAATACGCAAAGTACGCAAACTTGAACTCAGTTTTCACAATAGCGACAGTTACACCACACAGAGATGTATGGCAGATTACACCCAAAATGATAATATGACATGGCCTAACTACAATATCGAACTTAAAAATTCTGCCCCACCACACCAAACGACAATGCTAGTATAGCGTGGTGACAAAATAACGAGCATAATTTATTGCTCAGTCATATCAAGGTAATCACATAACTTCCTTGCTTCATTCATATACTCCTATTGTTTCGCATCGTACTCCAGATAGTAGTTAATCCGAAAAACTATGACCAAAATCTCTACCCACGTAACTATATTACCGTCTAAAATTGTGTCAGTTTTAATTTATCGTTTATTACTGCGTCCGTGAATGCATTTAGATGGCACTTATCTTGGCAAAAGGATTTACCTCTGGAACAGAGGAAGGGAAAGAAGTAAAGCTATGGAAGCCAGGTTAAAAAGTTACATAAGAGATGAATGTGAACTATAAAGTGAACACGAAGCACTAGGTAAACAACACTGACTGTGACATACTAATAGGTAACCTAAATTGAGTCTAGTGACTTACACCATACTTGCTTCTCTGTGCAAGCGAAATCATGGCCTCTTTCAGGCAACTAAGAAACACAAATCAATACATTACCTGCTTACATTTATTAAGCATACATACGCAACAAAATAAGTTACAAAGGGATTATATGGAGAAGAGTTACGCTATAAAGTGAGGTTCCGTAAAAGCCTAAATCTGCTGGTTCCTACAAAGCACAGGAAAATGTAATAAAGAATATATATTGGGAACGCCTCAAGTTCAAATAAATCAACTAGTAATTGTAACTTTACAGTCACAAATTACTGACTGATAATTAATGATACGACTGTCAGTTATGGTAGGTCGATTATGAAAGGAAAAAATTAAAATTGGCCGATTCATCAGCACTTTCACCACAATATTTTCGCTAATTCCGTAGTTGTCCTGTGTGTTGTTTAGCCAATAGCTTTGTGTAGAAGTGTACTAGTGCGTTTAAGTAATCAATGATAAATCAGTCGACCCAAGATAATGCTACACTAATTCTGAACTATGCATATATTATACATATGGTCTAATGCTAAGAGGATGATTTGGGTGCTGCGAAAAAACCTATTATGTCCTGAACTAATGCGGTTAGTGTTACGAAACAGCACCAAATACTGAACTAATTATTGACTTGGCTTAGAGACGCTCAAATTACGCGGAAACAATGAGTGTGAGTTATAGTCTACAGGTTTGAAATGGTGCTGCGAAAAATAGCGGTAGATACTGATAATGCGTGAAGATAGAGAAATGTGCTACTTGGTGCAGAAATCGAGCTACTGAGGAGAATTCAGAGTATTTGCTAACCGCGGGAAGAAAATCTTCAAACTTTACTATCACTGTCTCCGCTTTATTAGGTAACTGTTATTGGTCACGGATCTTCCGAACAAGAATGTATTTTTTGGTGCATTTTGTGGCGATTATGACTTGATTGTTAGTTTTTTATTGTAATATTGGCCAGTCAATTGACTGCAATCAAACTAGGATGCTTGAGAAATTTACAAGGCAATTCCAATTAAAATTCAGTGAAACAGTGTAAGAAGCAGTTATATTCGCAAGCGACTAAAAACCTCTTGAAAATTCTGCACTTTCATACCCCGAAGACACTAACAACTAGCTGAGCAAAGGGAACACCAATGTCATTTGCACCACCATTCAAATGTCGTTACCAGAGAATGGCCTTGGGTAAACCAGCGGAAATGCAGTAAAACTCCGCAAAACACGTTTTTGTGACTTACTAAAAGAATAAATCGATCCACGCACCTGATTGATTCTTCTCAGATGCTGTCATAAACAGATCCAATTAAACATAACCTATATCGCACTTTTGGCACATTCCACATAAAAATTTTAAAAAATCACTTATTCAGGAATTAGAGACGGGTGGAGTCCTCCTTAGGAAACAAAAGTTTCGCTGAGGGTTTCGAAATCATGCCTGATTTTTGTCTCGAATTTGTAAATAGAATCAAGTGGATTCAAAGAATTTGTCTGATGCTATTTGTATACAATGTTTGATGTGAACTCTATGCAACACGGTTGACACGATTAATGCTGATAGCGTTGTAGTGGTAAATAATTCCCCCTGGTGATTACCGGTGAGTGAACGCCAAAACAACCAATGATTGCCACCCGTTGCCTCATATACACGACTTGACGGCAACATTACCCGGCGCGGCTGTATTCTCTAAAATCGACTTGGTTAGAGCGTATAATCAAATCCCTATAGCACCGGAAGATATTCCGAAAACGGCTATCATTACGCCTTTCGGACTTTTCAGTTTTTACGTATGCCATTCGGTCTCCAGAATTCAGCCCAAACATTCCAACGCTTCATTGACGAAGTATTTCGCGGTCTCGACTTTGTATACGCATACCTAGATAACTGCCTCATCGCCAGTCAAGACAAGGAAACTCACCTTAGGCACTTGGACTTGGCATTTGAAAGGTTACGCCAACATGGTGTTACCATCAATATTCAAAAGTGTCAAATCGGTGTTGACTCACTCGACTTCCTGGGTCACACTATTGGCTGCAAGGGCATTCGCCCACTGGCTACTAAGGTCGAGGCTATACTGAACTTTCCAGAGCTACAGACGGTGAAAAGTCTCCGCACTTTTAATGGCTTGATAAGTTATTATCGACGCTTTATTCCCAACTGTGCCTCTTTGATTCAGCCGTTGGCAGACCTTCTTCGAGGCATTAGCAATTCCATAGAACTTGACGCGTCTGCTCGAAATGCTTTTACCCAGATTAAAAAAGTCATTGCGAATGCCACACTTCTGATGTATCAGGATCCAACACCACCATTAAGTATCTCGGTTGATGCATCAAATACTGCAATCGTCGCAGTTCTACAGCAGCTAGTTAAGAGAGAGTGGAAACCACTTGCCTTTTTCTCCAGGTGAAGTTCAATTAGCTGAAACGAAGTACAGCACATTCGGCAGAGAACTTCTGGCTATGTACTGTGTTTAACGACATTTTAGACATTCGGTAGATGGTCGGGAATTCATAGTTTTTACTGATCACAAACCTCTGACGTACTCTCTGAACTCATCTTCAGATAAGTATTCACCTAGGGAATCACGACAACTGGATTACGTTGCACAGTTTACATCAGATATTCGCCATGTATCCGGAGTAAACAACACTGTGGCAGATGCCCTGTCGCGCGTTTGTTCCCTCACCCAAATCGACGGCATAGACCTAGTAAAACTGGCTCGTCTTCAAAAAGAAGATACTGAGCTTCAACATGAGTTGTCGAAAACAACTCTACAATTAGCTGAGAAACTCTTAGGTATGGGAAGAGATAGTATTCTATGTGACATTTCCACGAGTACTCCTCGACCCATCGTGCCTAAAAGTTATCGCCTTAACGTCTTCAATACGTTGCATGGCTCATCTCACCCAGGTATTCGAACTACTGTCAAGCTCGTAACTAGTCGGTTTTGTTGGCCTGGCATTAATAAGGAAGTAAGGGAATGGGCACACGCGTGCTTAGCTCGTCAAAAGTGCAAGGTAATAAAATACACCTAAAGCCCACTTGGCACCTTTCTTCTCCCTGATGCTCGTTTTGAACACGTCCATATAGATTTGGTTGAACCCCTTCCAGAATCTCATGAATATACCTATATCTCAACCTGCATCGACCGTTTCACACAATGGACTGAAGCAGTACCCCTCAAGGATGTATCTGCTGAGACAGTCGCATGCGTCTTTGTCGAGCGATGGATTGCCAAATATGGATGCCCATCTTCCATAACAACTGATCGCAGGCAGCAATTCGAAAGAGGCTTATTCTTCGCCTTGATTAAGATCACACGTTTCATGCATTTGAGAACAACAGCTAACCATCGTCAAGCTAATGGTGTGGTAGTACGTCTACATAGACAGTTGAAAGCTGGGTTATCGGCAACGCATTGGGCTGAATCACTACCGTGTAGTATAGCTGCTCTCGTGTTAACACGTTTCGAGTTTGTGGCATTTTGCAAGGTCTGAAGGTAGCTGTAAATGTGATTTCCACTCACCTGTTTTCAAAAGACATCTATTTAAACCCTAAAGTTATCTTCAGAGAACATTTCAGTTTACTTTTCCTTGTAAATCGCACGTTTAGGTACAAATCAATGAAATTAAATCTCAGGTTACGCAACCGAGAAAATCGCCTGTACATTCAAGATGACATAATGATGAAAAATATGACTATTCATAGTACTTGAATTACCTGCAACTGATAGGAGTCTTGTGTAGCCATGTGATAGCATGTTTAATAAGACGAAAACTGCTGTCCTTTGGAAGCTTGACTGAATCTTCGCACACTGTAACGCCGTCTGATAACTTCGCCCACGACGAATTTTTGCGCAAAATATAGTGTTGAAACCGTACTTAAATCGCATCACTGTGGCTTATTAACCTCTGTTAGTAAATACTCCAGGTATACTGACTTTAAGTTACCAAAGTTTCACGAATTCCCAGTTGAGTGATCCGGCATTTAAGTTGGTGTGGTGACTAGAGCGGAAAGAAATGGGACATACATCGATAGAAAAAACTGACCAATATATTTTAAGATCCCAGAGGGGCATTAGTGTTACACAAAGCTGGCTAATAACATCAGACGATTACGAAGACTAAAAGTGACTGGTTACTTTCAATTCTTCTGTAAGCCACTTCAAAAAATTTAAAATAGAACTTTGGCCTTCATAAAACGTTGCACTGGTGATTCTGAAGAGCTCTTTCTCCAAATTGCGTTGTTTTGCCTCGAGAATAGGAGGTGTTTGTGTTCTTTGGAAAGAGAGCAACTAATTCTGTATACTTTTCTTGACGTATTGCGAGAATTTATCCAGCACAACACCTTAAAAGGGCACCGTAGCTGTTGTCGATTTCCTTAGGAGTGCCTTCTGTCACGGTTCATTCTTGAGGTAAGTTTACATTTCCTGTCCAAGCAGTGTGATGATATAACCTTATAGAAAATCCTATCTGATTATCCCACCTAGACCTCTAGTCTCTAGGTTAAGCGCTGGGATATGTTGATGGCTGCGCAAGATGCACGCCTTATAAACTCAAGTATCATCCCTGTATTCGCCAATATGCTCGTTCTGCTGATACAGGTTACAGACAAAAACAAAGAGTTGGCCCTAAAAATTACGTCACATACCCATGATACAGAGGGATGATGACCGCTTAGCTCGTCAGGGTTATGCATGAATGAATGAACGCAACACGACAGCGTAGCAAATGGAGCGAATACTTTACCTCTTACTTTCGGCTAAACAGGTCATTTAAACATCGTAGATCCCCAGCCAGTGTTGAGTGAGGAATTCTGTGAGTAAATAATTTTAAGGAATAATTTGTCTATATACTAGCGAACGTTGATGTTTGGCATTAGGAGGACCTAAAAGTGACTTATAACTCAGGTTCTGGCGGATAAAAAACGAAGGCTTTCTGTGTATCACTGATTCTGATGGACTTTCATGATTTGAATGTGCGTTCTTTGTGGTAATTGTCAATGCAGTTGAAGACTCAACGATCAATTCATGGTTGTTTGCTCAAACCCAACTCCTCCATATTTTTCCGCGGGAGTCACCGATAGTGCAGTCATCGTCTCATCGTTCGCTGTACGGTAGATGACAGAAAGCTATCAGAAGTACTATCGTAATTTATTGTTATAACATTTATTCTTAGGCCTTGTGCATAATAAACTTATTGTCGGTTACACGTTGGCGTAAGAATAAAGGATTCTCGAGTCGTCAATCTGTGTTCTGGTTTCCCGCATTGGTTGATACAAAGTGTTTCTGAAAGTCTTCGAGGGACAGCGTGAGGTCCAGCGTAGTAAGAGCTGGACAGTGAAAGTAATTCTGCACGAAAAAAGGCATGTTCTCTATGCCACCTCGACAGTGAAAGACTCAGAACTGTACAAATATGAAGTGAACAATCTTATCCGGTATACTGTATCATTCCCTGTTCCATATCCGTCAGGGACTTCCCCTATGTCTCATGTAAATGATAATTTGGAGCATCACAATCTCCAGAGTTTGTGTAAACCGGACGAAGTAAACTTTGAAACCAATATGAAATAACATTATAACAAATAAAAGTGTTTCAAACCACTGGTGTATTCCCTCAAGTGATAACACCCTTCACAATATGTTAAATACTCAGGTATTTTATGTCAGCCACTGAGATTCCTCAGATGTGCATAAATGAAAAGCTTGTGATAATAATTGTTGTTATAAAGCCACTCAGTTCTTTTCTTAGTGTATACCTTTGTCCCTCTTCTGCATGCTCATATATCTACTGGCATTCATAGTGTAAGTAAACTCTCAGTTGAGCTCAGACAGACTCGTTTGTTAACATTAGTTCCAGCATAAATATCCTCCTGTTCAACGGTAATAGGAGTAACCATCAACAGCTGATAAAACTGGTCAGAGAAATTCATTAAAAATTTAATATGACTTACGAATGAACAGGGAATATTTTTTCGATAACTTCGCCCCCAAGCTCTACAGCTACGTGACCATAATGGTTAAAGAATTACTGTCATTTATAGTATTAATGCTTTAGCTAACTGTACTAATAATATCGACGGATTACAGTTCAGAGGCAAAAAATGGGTTCGTCCGCTGTTCCTCACCTTAGCCAGCTGTAAAACCTATAAACTCATGAATTCTGTAT